TTATAAAAAAGAATAAATCAAAAACTTTGATATTAAATCTGCTGCTGCACTTGCATGTACTGCAGCAAAGCAGCGTAGGTGAATATGTTTAGTTGGAACGGTAGCATTATGGTGGTAGGTACCTGTAGCTATCATTCTGTGCTTATATATCCATCAGCTTTCTATGTCAGTTCCCATCTACGTCCTTCCGGCATAATACTGTAGCTTTTACCCTCTTTACCTCACACTTCGACTTCGGGTCCAGTAATCATCGTGGACCAATGCAAAGCCCGAGTTACGGTATCATGCGAGAAACTCGCCCCCGCAGTACTCAGGTTCATAAACCCGCAGGCTACTGCTATCAGCTATCATTCGTCTTGACATAGACCCCATTTGCTGTCTATCGCAGGATTTGGACATGGCGTTCACACAGACACTCACCTCGCAACAACGCAGTGAGAACTCGTCGAAAACGATTCAAAGACAATGTAGTCGCGTAAGAAGCTTCTGAAGGTCGCATGACTTGAAAGGCAAAATTCGGTAAGGTACACTCTGTTGAAGACCACAAGCTGATTTCTGCGTTTTTGCATCTACTACTCTTCAGAACTTGACATTATAAGTAATGTCGGTAGTGCAAAGGACAAGATTTCCTGGTCATTGAACTTTCAAATGCTAAAATACGCATCTCTCCTACACAAATGTTAGTCGCGTATAGGAGTTCCCAGTTCAAATGTCGTGGTAAGCGCGATTGGTTCTCACCAATCGCCTCGCTTAAGTCTTTCGCGCGTACGCCCTTAGCTGATACATATTTTCCCACAACTGAGGTGTGAAAAATATACCTGTAAACATTCATGGTTGAACGAGCCTGGAGAGATGCTCCGAACACGTTGGGTAGTGTGGCCCAAACGTGGAGGCTTACAAGGACCCGAGCCGCGTCAACAGCAACACTCAAACTGGGATTCCCTTACAACACATTTGACCGAGTTGTAGATTTGACTCCGATTTGATTCATCTCGCATTATGCAATGTTTTTGATAGCGACGCCATGTAAATATTAGTAGCTACGAGTATGAGTAGCTACACTTGAACTTCTAAAGTATCGTCATTCGTTATCTGCATGGTTTCAGCATCAGAGGAAAACCGTCGAACTTCACCATGAATCCTTATTTCGAAGGTATTTTACATCATACTCAGTGCAAAAGAATCTACTCAACTTTCAGCCTAACTGATATCATAAAGAATTCCTTGGATTGCTGCGTTATGAACAGAAGCGTATAAGAAAGATGCGCGGTTAGTGGCCCTTGGATGAAAACAAAGTAGAGGAGACCGTAGCA